CATTTTCATTATTAAAAATTCAATAATCCATATTCACCTTTCATATTTCACTTCCAAAATTTTCAAACTGTTTAAAAATACAACCTATAATATTCAACAGGCAATTTTCGGTCCATTTTATTTCGCCTTGAAAATTCGCTTCCACAAATTCCACAAAAAGGTTGATTAAGTACGGAGCCCGGGAGTCACCTGTTGGAAAAAAACAACAATAACCCGTGGCGACGGTTTTGCAATCCGTCCGCTCAAAAAAAAAATATATATATATGCTCGGTTAGATGCGTTTTTACTACTTTTTGTATTTTGTATAATTATATCTATAGGTAGGCTAATGAAGATATATTATCTGAGTAGCCTACAGTTTACAAACCCGTGGGAACGGATTGCGAAAGCGTGGGCACGGTTTATGAATTTGTGGGTACAGATTGCAAAAACTGAAGGCACGGTTTACAAATCTGAGAGCACGGATTAGAAACTCGTGGGTACGGTTTGTTAAACCGAGGGAACAGTTTGAGAATTCTTGAGTAGCCCACGGTTTATAAACTGAGCGGACGGATTGCAAAACCGTCGCCACGGGTTATTGTTGTTTTTTTCCAACAGGTGACTCCCGGGCTCCGTACTTAATCAACCTTTTCCACACACATATAAATTATAACTCGTACCGCTCTGTCCATTTCAGCAATTGACGTTTTGTGAAGGCCTCTAGTCTCTAGCTGTTGCTTTGGTGCTTGTCAACACGCGCTTGCACCCCCTGCTGGTGAAGCCGACCAACAGCAGCTGGAGAATATGCTCGGCAATCTACTGCTTTTCCTGCAGTTCCTGGATGTCAACGTAGTATTTTCTGTTGATTTTGAACCACTGAATTTGTGGAAGCGAATTTTCAAGGCGAAATAAAATGGACCGAAAATTGCCTGTTGAATATTATAGGTTGTATTTTTAAACAGTTTGAAAATTTTGGAAGTGAAATATGAAAGGTGAATATGGATTATTGAATTTTTAATAATGAAAATGTGTTTGAAATGTTTTTAATTTAAATATTCACAGCTTAAATATTCAACCATGTTGAATTTCAGCCCATAAAAATGCAAGCCTTAAAAATACAATGGATTAAAATGCAAGCATGGTTAACGCAATGCATATTTTTTTTCAATTGGTGCAATTCAACTTGCTTTTTGTTTCAAAAACATTTGACATTATTTTACTTCCATAAACGTGCGTCTGACGTCAGCGTGTCGTCAATTCGGCGGGTAACTTTGACAACATGAATGAACAGACGCATATCGTCGCAACTATATTGTTATTTTTATGGCATAATTACCCGCAGCACCAACTATACACAAGGCTAGTTCAAATTCGCCAAATGAACGTCCTCATCGTGCGAACATTTTATCGTCGCCGGCAGGAAAGGAGGAGAAGACTGCAAGTTGACTTCTTATTATGTCATCAGACCATACTTCAATTAAAAACCTCGTCTCCTCCTCTTCTTTTCCTGCCACCTTCAGTTTTTTTGGCTATGCGGGAACCACCGGGACTTCCTGTAAAAGGTCTGAAAGTCCGAACCATACAAAAATGCTTTCACACTAGAACCTTTGCTCAGTTTGATCCGGACCGAGACTACCTCTTTTCGTCGGACCAAATTTCATCTGTTTGGTCCGGACCGTGGTCCGGGGTAGTTTCACACCTGTAATTTTGATTCGGACCAAACTGAAAAGTCTGAAAGTCCGGACCAAACAAGGTAGGTGTGAAAGGGCCCTTAGACAAGGCAGCCTAACAGTCCTAACTAGTTATAGTCAACATCTACCAGGGGTGCATTTCCCAAAAGCATTGTTATCTAACTATGGTCGCAAGTTCCATTGATCTCTGTTGGTAGCAATGACCATAGTTGAACTTGTGACCATAGTTGCTTTTGGGAAAAGTATCTCAGTTTGTCCAGTCTGGAAGGAACATTTAAAACCATCAAATGCTGCTTCTGGCTGAATTTTCCAGGAGCTATAATGTGATGTCATGGGCTTGTTGTCTCTTCTGTGATCTGCTGTTTTCTATTATCAGAAAAGCACAGGGGAACCTCTAGCAGGAGACAGCAGCGCTGGCTAACATATTCCGTCGTAAAAGCTTCCTGACCATGTGCAGATGCTTTGTGCTGTGAGACACCGAGGTCAGAAAAGACATTCTGTAGGTTTACACCATTACAGAAAGACTAAGATCCAGGATTCCAGTCTACTAATAGGAAACAATCCTAAAAACGTCAGCCAAGGTCATTTGGAACTGTCAAAGGATTTTTAATTAGCCTGGGAAAACCCAGACAACTTCCGGCAAATTTAGATTTGCTCTGAAAGTTAGTCTGGCAAAGAGCTCATTCAAGCCCATTTCCAATCCGCCGAAATCGCGGCACCAATCAGAAACGTTGGGGCGGGCTTTACACGATGACGACAGCGCTGGGATTTTGAAGCAGATTTTGTAGCCTACATTACAAAGATGGATGCCGCCGTCGAACATCACTCGTTCCAATCAGCTATCGCGTCTGTTTTAAGCCATTTGAACGTTTCCTTTTTGTTAAAAACCGAGCAAAGAACAACACTCGGAGATGTGTCTCCGCCGCTCTGCATACGTCATCTCCTTCATCGCTCTGATTGGGTTTAGGTCTATCCGCGACGTCCGTTGGTGACGCCCCTCTGGAAATGATTTGTCTATGACGCTTTGCCAGACCATAACTCAGTTACGACTGAGAATGCTCTGGTTTTAACCAGGCAAATTTTTAATAAAACCATAAAGAAACATAGGGAGGAATCTCCCTCTTGAACACAGACAGACATGACAACCAGTTTTATTGGAAAGAATATGTTGGTTGACCAACTTCACCAGCATGAAACAACCTGGATCAGCAAAGAAATGATCCTGGTCTTTTCAGCTAGGTATTTCGGTGTATGGTGTCCGGTTATGGTTGCAAACAAGACGAGAAAAGCAGGATCTAAACGCAGTTGTGGCGATTATTAAACCCCAACTCAAAACAAAACACTCCGGATACTAAGACTCAAAAACACGAACACAACAACCAGTATAAATGACGAGAACAGACAGTGAACTGAAATAAACAGAACACACAACTAAACCAATCACCGAAATGAACAACAGGTGCAACTGATAATCAAATCAATGAAAAACCATAGAGAAACTACTGAAACACAGAAAGGAAACCCACCCAAAACAAACACAGATCACCCGTAACATACGGATGCACCGATGAAACATTTCTGTGCCGATATTAATATCCGATTATTTAGAATGACATCTGCCTATATAGATACTGATACTGAGAATTTGGTGGTTCTGCATTTTATACCTTGTTTCAAATTAATCACAATTAATTACACAATTTTTAAATAAAATGTAAAAAACAAGGAAAACATGTTATGGAGAGAATAAAAGTTAAAGAGAAACTGCTTTCAGTTATAAACAGAAAACATTACTTATAGTTCCACCTTGTGAAAGTCTAGCAGTGCAGAGATTACAAATTGCAATTCTGTTGCCATTGTCACTCAATTTAAAGTAAATGTCTCACAAGAGACATTTTCTTCATACACAGCATGATTTCCAATCAGTTTTTTTGCCCCCCTTTTGATTGACAGGATACAAGCGGCCCTGATAATTGGCTGTTTTTAAACAACCGGTCGACATCCAATATCATTGATAATGACTTTTATCGCCTAAGACATTGATGCATACCTGGAATTTCTTTTTTTCAGGTGTGCTTTGTATCTCTTTTATCAGGTAATGCAAAAAATGGCACTTTTCTCTAGTACTGCAAAGCAACTTCTCCTTTAGGGTTTTTTAACTTGAGATAAGCGGTGTATTAGGTGAACATTTACTCATTATGCCTAATGCCCTGTTCAAGGAATTCATAATCAACTTTTTTCCATGTCCTCAGGTGAGATACAGAGATAAGACAGCCCATTTTCCATAGGTACTACCGCAGATGTGTGGATGAAGACGAGTGAGGCAACACAAACACAAGCCCCTCTTAATCTAAGATCCCTCAAGAGACATAAATCCTTCACTTTGGCCTTCACAAGCATCTGAGCAACATCATTTCTACACTTCAAAGTTGGTCCCCAAGAACCAAAAAGTTATTGTTTTCACAGCTCTTGGCTCAACTGCCTTAATTGGACAATCCTGATGGATGTTTTATTGCTCAGATGTTGCTCTTTCATGGCTCACAAGACTTTTCAAGACGGTAACGCTTCCTTTTACAGTCCTGTTACCCATGTACTTACTATGTACTTATTATAGTAATTACAATTACCGGGTAATAACTAGATATTAACCCTGAACCTACCCCTAACCCATGTACTTACCTTATATTAGCCAGTACTTTCTTGGTAAGTACACGTAAGTACTGTACTGTAAAAAGAAGCGTTACCGATATTTCTTCAAACCGTCCTCAGGAGAAATAAAAATAGACACAAATGACACAACTGGTGGTGACATTCAGTATACATAACAGAGCTAGCTATAAAATAAATGCGGATCGCAGCTCAGATCAGTGGATCTTTTTTATATACAGGTGCAACTCGAAAAATTAGAATATCGTGCAAAAGTTCATTTATTTCAGTAATTCAACTTAAAAGGTGAAACTAATATATTATATAGACTCATTACATGCAAAGTGAGATATTTCCAGCTTTTATTTGTTATAATTTTGATGATTATGGCTTACAGCTTATGATAGAATAGAATATTGTGAAAAGGTTTTCATAAGCTGTAAGCCATAATCATCAAAATGATAACAAATAAAGGCTTGAAATATCTCACTTTGCATGTAATGAGTCTATATAATATATTAGTTTCACCTTTTAAGTTGAATTACTGAAATAAATGAACTTTTGGACCATATTCTAATTTTTCGAGTTTCACCTCCATTTGCTGTCCATTTATTTTGATTGATGTAAACTATGAAGAAAAGACTGACAAGATTTTCCTCTTGAAAAACAAAAAGCACTACTCACAATCTCTTTGAGGATCTTGTCCACGACGCTCTTGTCCTGTAGGTTGTGTACGTAGCGGGCGGCTGGAGGGCTGGCCAGTAGTCGCAGCTGTTCCACGTTGGCAGCGGATGTGAAACCTACTGTGAAGAATTTAATCCCTTGGTTCTTGGCATCAGCTAAAGCAGAGAAAATATCGGGATTCTTGGGATGCGACACGCCGTCGTACAGCAGAATGGCCACCTTCACGGTGCCAGGGCCAGACTCCTCCAGGTAGATGCGGGTGAGGTTGGTGATGGCGTAGGTAGTGTAGGTACCGTGCCCTATGTAGGAAATGGGCGCAATGCGGTCATGGAAGGTGGCCACACCTCTCCAATCTTTGAAGGTCTGCTCGGTGATCACATGACTGCTGTACTGAAGGAGAGCAGTTCTGAAGTTCAAGCCCTGTCCGGTTTGGAGATTGATGTTCTGGATCCGGGTAACGAGATCTGTAACGAAGCGCTTCTCTTGGGCATGGTTGCCTTTGGCACTTTCTGAACTGTCCACCAAAAATGCCAGTTCCAAATTACAGTCCTCATCTAAAAGACGGACGGAGAGAACAAAAAAAAAAAAAAATGTTAATTCCAAAATTTTAATTCAAAAGCAAGTTATTTTGACATATAATTTCAGAATGTATGTAAAAAACTTTGTTTCTGGCTGAGAGCAAATATCATTGACGTCAAACTGGTTTTATTGTTTTTATTTGGAGCTTGACTGTAAATATGGAGTGTTTTTGACTATAAAAGAGTTGTGTGAAGATTCTTCAAAAAATCTTGTGGACCAGCCAAAAAAATAACAGCATACTAGGATTGTTATCGATAACCAAAAACTAAAATTACTAATAAACATGAATTGAAATAGAAAAACAAAATTCAATTTTAATTCAAGGAAACATTTTCGTTTAGTTGAAGCACTAAAATAACTAAAGCTAAATAAAATAGAACTGAAACTATACAGACATTTTTTAAAAGTGTATTAAAAATGACAAACACATTTAAACTTTAAAATTAAAACACCAAATATAAACATTAAATCTAAATCAAAATTTAACAAGAACTACAATAGAATTTCACTGACACTAAAATGACAGCATACTGGTTTGGGATGCCATATTTATTTAAAAACCTTTTTTTGGGGATGAACTATTTTTTTTTTTTTTTACTATTGATTTTTTTAAGCCAGACTTTGTGAACACATACAGTATAATGTGTTCTGCCACTAAAGGACAGCCAGTGACTCCTATTTGACTTGAATTGTTTGATAACTGTTTAGGTATTACAAAAATACCAGAAAGTGTCTGCCAAAAACAAATGTAAAGGTACAATTAAATGTGATCCGTCTGAAATTGCCCAAGTCTACAGTAAATCACATTTATGAAGAAGAAGAAACATGTCCGAGAGGAAATTTGGCCCAGGACAGTGAGCAGGAGAGCAGACTGTTCGGCGAAGTATTTAAATCAGTTTCATATGTTAAAAATATCATACTCAATCAACATACTTCACATGTCTGAAAGTTGAGGACCAGACCCTGCATGAGTTAAATCAGTCTGGATTATCTCATAACCCCTGGACCAAAATCATACTTGTGCCTAGTTAAAACCAAAGGAGTTTTTTATCATAAAAAGTAAATACAGTATTTTTATACAGTATACAGATTTGCTGTGTTGAAAGGCAAATAATATTTACCGTTGTTTTTTGGGATGACATTTGAGGTGATTGGTTTATTTTTGTTTCTTCCATTTCTCTTGTCTGCTACATCATCAGCATCATCATCATCATCATCATCGAGATCGTCCAGCTGAGCCAAAACAAGCTGAACTCCCAACAGCAAAACCAGCCAACTCACACACAGCCGGATCATCACTACAGTACGAGAGAGAGAGAGAGAGAGAGAGAGAGAGAGAGAGAGAGAGAGAGAGAGAGAGAGAGAGAGAGAGAGAGAGACTGTATTAAGGATGGATAACCTTATTTTCAAATGCATCACATGTGTTGTCACATTCAAAGTTTGCAATCAGAAGCTGTTTATTTGCTTTTCACTCTAAATACTCTTAATATGAAAAAGTGGAATAGCAAAGAAGTGGTAACACTTTACAATAAGGTTCATTAGTTAACATGAACTAAGAATGAACAATACTTCTTCAGCATTTATTAATCTTTATTTCAACATTTACTAATACGTTATTAAAATCAAAGGTTGTATTTGTTAACATTAGATAATGCACTGTGAACAAACAATGAACAGCTGTATTTTTATTAAGTAACCTTAACAAAGATGAATAAATATCTTTAACAAATGTATTGCACAGTGTTAGTTCATGTTAGTTAATACATTAACTAATGAACCTTATTGTAACGTGTTACCAAAGAAGTTATTTTCTCATGATGAGACCAATTTTACTGAACTCTCCAAACAGAACAGAATCATAAACAGCTAATGTGAGTAAAATGTGCACTTACTGTGTAAAGCAGCTCTGATCTCAGTACAGTACCGGCTTGAGTACAACCTGAACGATGAAGATCAGAAGCTCATGACAGACTTCATAGCCTCTTCTCTGTATAAGATTCACACGCAATAAAAATATGCCATACGAAAGGACTGGGAATCCTTGGATGTGTGTGAAGAGCGCATGGGTTTGCTGTGTAAGAGAAGAAACGTAAAAATGTGCATCAGCTCCATTCATGTAAAGCGTCTGCTGCCATCCAGAGGAACATTAATATCCAGAGCTCCTCCCATAAACCCACACATTTTTACACATAATCCAATATATTATAACATATAAAATGCATGGCTGTGCATAAATGTAAAAAAGACTGTTTTAATTTTTTTTTAGTTTAAAATAATTTTCATTTAGTATTATTTTGTAAAACATACATTAACTACTGATCTACTACTAATTAAATCAGCTATGTATGTGGAATATTTATTTTAAATGTACAGTCGAATGCACAGCTCTTAATGATTTTGTAGGTGAATTGCCCTAATGTGGGACATTTTTTGCACTTCTGTGACATATTGCGATGTGTAACCAAAACATTAAATCCACAACCATTTTAAAACCCCCAGTATGTGTCCTAATCAAATCAAAAGGGAAAATTCAGACAACCCATCCATAAGAGAAATTATAGACATATTAGTGCTCTTATTCTGACAATCTGCAGCTTCCTAATGTGGGACAGTGACAAATCTATGATAAAATACCAAAAATCACATTGATATATGTAGAATAGTAAAATCTTATTTTATTTTTAGATTCTCTCTTAAATCTTAGTTAGTAATTTTCTTTGTTATGAATGAATGAAACATGTAAAATAACAATTTTTAGTTATATTATCCATTTCCAGTAAACCAGTATCACAATCCATAAACAAGACCATTATATCAGTTATAGTCATGAATTTGTAAAACACCTAAAAAATAAACAGATCAACTTTGGACCAAAATAATTTGGTATAATTACAACTAAAAAATAAATGTACAATTGTTTCTGTTTCCTCTTTCCCAAAACGCATAATGGAGAAACCCTTTCTTTAAACTTACTGATAAAATCATTACATGGATAATATCTATTTATTATTTTAAAGTGAGTTTCTTTGACTTATTTATTAGGAATTACATATTTATTAATATCCGACCACAGATTCTGAAAAAAGGTTTCCATTTCATCAATGCCTTAGGTGAAACATTTTTTTCTTTAGTTACGATTTGTCTAATATAAACATTATTCATATTTTTATTAAAATAAAATAAAAAATGTTTAAAACATGCCCCATCACATATTTTTGACTCATTGAAGTACTGTCCCACATTAGGCTGATCATACTGTCCCGGATTTGGAAACCACATTTCCTAATGTGGGACACTAGGAAATTTGATAAAAATATAAAATATATAGTTTATACACATAAAGTTACAACATTTTTTGATGGACAAACATTTCATAAGCATATTAGGCTAAAAAGTATCAGGATTGTAGCCTGGGAAAACCCAGACAACTTCCGGCATATTTAGATTTGCTCTGAAAGTTAGTCTGGCAAAGAGCTCATTCAAGCCCATTTCCAATCCGTCGAAATCGAGGCACCAATCAGAAACGTTGGGGCGGGCTTTACACGATGACGACAGCGCTGGGATTTTGGAGCAGATTTTGTAGCCTACATTACAAAGATGGATGCCGCCGTCGAACATCACTCGTTCCAATCAGCTATCGCGTCTGTTTTAAGCCATTTGAACGTTTCCTTTTTGTTAAAAACCGAGCAAAGAACAACACTCGGAGATGTGTCTCCGCCGCTCTGCATACGTCATCTCCTTCATCGCTCTGATTGGGTTTAGGTCTATCCGCCACGTCCGTTGGTGACGCCCCTCTGGAAATGATTTGTCTATGACGCTTTGCCAGACCATAACTCAGTTACGACTGAGAATGCTCTGGAGTTTAACCAGGCTAGCAGGATTGCTTTGTTTAAAATCTATTTAACTCCTTAACATCAAATTTGTTAAAACTCTATGTCATTAACCTTCGGATGGTCTTCACACAAGGTGTCTCCTGTTTGATGATTGCTTCACCCTCAAATATGATTGGACATTTGATAGGTCATGTGATTTTGATCACATGACACCACAGCTTTGTCTAACCCATAGTTTCACTGTCATTTAATGGGGGACCTACAAACACTAGACCGTAGGTGTTCCTACATTAGGCAGTGTCCCACATTAGGGCAATTCACCCTATATGTAATAACTTTAAATTAAAAAAAAAAATCACGTCAACAGTCTTGTAAATGCTTAAAGGATTCATGTAAAATCTCCAGCAGGGATTGTTAATGTCCTGAGCTGTTGTGATATACAGCTACTGTACGCATGTACACTCACCTAAAGGATTATTAGGAACACCTGTTCAATTTCTCATTAATGCAATTATGTAATCAACCAATCACATGGCAGTTGCTTCAATGCATTTAGGCGTGTGGTCCTGGTCAAGACAATCTCCTGAACTCCAAACTGAATGTCAGAATGGGAAAGAAAGGTGATTTAAGCAATTTTGAGCGTGGCATGGTTGTTGGTGCCAGACCGGCCGGTCTGAGTATTTCACAATCTGCTCAGTTACTGGGATTTTCACGCACAACCATTTCTAGGGTTTACAAAGAATGGTGTGAAAAGGGAAAAACATCCAGTATGCGGCAGTTCTGTGGGAGAAAATGCCTTCTTAATGCTAGAGGTCAGAGGGGAATGGGCCAACTGATTCAAGCTGATAGAAGAGCAACTTTGGCTACGTTCACACTGCAGACTCAAACGACCCAATTCTGATTTTTTTGCCCCTATGCGACCTGTATCTGATCTTTTCATGACAGTCTGAACGACACAGATCCGATCTTTTCAAATGCGACCCAGGCCACTTGGGTATGTGGTCCAAATCCGATATGTATCCGATCTTTTGAAATGCGACTTCAATTTGAACGGCCAGATCACATGTATCCGACCCGCACGTCATTGATATGCGACAAACGTCATAATCCTGCGTTGAAGTAGGCGGGAATTGACCGTTGAGTACTCTTCTGTGCATGCGGGTCACTTCTGGGTCATTTCACGTTCACACAGGAGATCACAAAAGGTCGCATTTAATTGGAAATGTGAACGGCCTTGCAAAAAAATCGATTTTTTTCAAAAAATCGGAATTGAGCATTAAGCCCCTGCAGTGTGAATGCAGCCTATGACTGAATAACCACTCGTTACAACCGAGGTATGCAGCAAAGCATTTGTGAAGCCACAACACGCACAACCTTGAGGCGGATGGGCTACAACAGCAGAAGACCCCACCGGGTACCACTCATCTCCACTACAAATAGGAAAAAGAGGCTACAGTTTGCAAGAGCTCACCAAAGTTGGACAGTTGAAGACTGGAAAAATGTTGCCTGGTCTGATGAGTCTCGATTTCTGTTGAGACGTTCAGATGGTAGAGTCAGAATTTGGCGTAAACAGAATAAGAACATGGATCCATCATGCCTTGTTACCACTGTGCAGGCTGGTGGTGGTGGTGTAATGGTGTGGGGGATGTTTTCTTGGCACACTTTAGGCCCCTTAGTGCCAATTGGGCATGGTTTAAATGCCACGGCCTACCTGAGCATTGTTTCTGACCATGTCCATCCCTTTATGGCCACCATGTACCCATCCTCTGATGGCTACTTCCAGCAGGATAATGCACCATGTCACAAACCTCGAATCATTTCAAATTGGTTTCTTGAACATGACAATGAGTTCACTGTACTAAAATGGCCCCCACAGTCACCAGATCTCAACCCAATAGAGCATCTTTGGGATGTGGTGGAACGGGAGCTTCGTGCCCTGGATGTGCATCCCACAAATCTCCATAAACTGCAAGATGCTATCATCAATATGGGCCAACATTTCTAAAGAATGCTTTCAGCACCTTGTTGAATCAATGCCACGTAGAATTAAGGCAGTTCTGAAGGCGAAAGGGGGTCAAACACAGTATTAGTATGGTGTTCCTAATAATCCTTTAGGGGAGTGTATGTCAGCATGCTGTGTGGAAACACCACTGTACAGCACTGTAATAAAGCTGGAACATCAAAGCATGTGGTGTTCAAAGCATGCCAGGCAGTAATAAAGCAATAAAAACTTTGAATCTGAGCGGAAACATAAATTCAGTTTTGAGCCAATGATGACGGCAGGGCTTAAAGCGAACAGAGCTAGAATGAATCAGGACGACACCACTCTCTCATGGAGCTGCAGAAATGTGTAAACTATCAATACATGGTGTAGAATATCTGTACATTCTTTTCCTCACCATATCTATAGCATACCATATTTTATTGTCCTGCTTCAAAAGAGAAGCAACATGCACCGTGTGATCACTGTAAATAACTTTGGTCCATTTCTATAGCAAGCTGTTTAGTTGTAATCCAATTATGACTAGTAAAAAGTGCAATTATAGATATTTAACCCCCATTGCTGTTCGGACAAAAGTTTACGTTTTTTTTATTTTACTTAATCGGAATGCTACAAAACTTGGTAAAGGTCTTGGTACTTGCTGTGTAAACACACACACACACACACACACGCACACGCATTGGAAATGAATGAGAGACGAATTTCATCTACTGGAAATGTTTGGTACTGCGGCCAAACAAAATCTTACATTTTAAAATCCTCAAATTGGGAACAAATCTTGTTTAGATTTATGACTTATCACCGTTTTAGAGTGCTTTGGAAAATATATATTTAATATAAAAATTGAAAATTGTATTTTTGGGCATTTTTCATAACAACAAATGTCAAATGTTATAACTTTTTTAACTTCTGTAATAATCTGCCAAGTGTTGTCTTTAAAATGAGACCAAACTTACATCTGTAACGCAAAGCATTCAAGATTTATGACAGTTTAAGTTAGAAATTTCATTTTCAGGTCTATTCTCAAATAAAGTGAATAAATGGATTATAACTACTGCATAAATATAATTTAGTACCATAAAATCCCATACAAAATACAAAATATGACATAAAAAACATTATCGAACT